TAAATCCATAAACTTTATACGAATATTCTTAATCAGCAGAGTTGAAACTTTTATCTCTATTTGATTCACTCTATGGGTTTATGCTTTAGAGGCTTGAGGAATTGCCTTCGAGTAAGTAGGTGGAAAAAGCAACTTGAAGGAATTGAATTTAAGTTTTTGATAAATTACATATAATAAAAGTCAAGCCAGATCTAGATAAAAGATAATCCCAGCAGGGTACAGGCAACCACACACATACACACATCTGTCTTATAAACAATGCTTTTGTACTTCGCCATGGCAACCTAATACTCCATTTCTATAATTCAAGTTGACAAATTATCGATACATTTCCAAAACAACAACAGCAGGGAGGGAGCAGGGAAAGGGAAATACTATATAGATAGAGCGGTTGAGCCAAACAGACAAAGAGCTTTGTCTAAAATAATGAAAATTAAATGCAATGGCAATGGCAAAGGCAACAACTGCACATTGCAAGGCGCAACGATAAAACCGTTGCACCGAAACGCAGACAGATAAACCAATAACAATAATACACCAACAACAACAACAACCATAATAGCAAGAATAACAACAATAATAGCAACAAAAACAAGAGCAACTAAGGGGCTGCCACACCGCCAATGATGAACATTGCAACATGGCAGCAGCAACAAGAAATGCAAGCCACAACGACGCCATTCGACGTCGCCAAAGCCAAAGTCAAAGGCGGGTAAGTAAAGGGGGTTCAGTTAAACAACGGGATAGATATAGCAAAGAAAATGGAGCAACGGGGAGGCGATACAAAGGGGAGACAGGCAGCGATTGTACACAGTAAAAGCAAAGAAAAGAACAAGGGAAAATTGCTGCGACAAGGGAAATACTCTGCCATCAGGAGAGCCATGAGATCTAGCTGCTGAGGCGGAATGCTAATGAAATAACAACCTGATTAAATTTTAATTGCGTTGTTTTTAGTAAATAAAATAAAACAAATATATAATATAATATAATATAATATAATATAATATAATATAATATAATATAATATAATATAATATAATATAATATAATATAATATAATATAATATAATATAATATAATATAATATAATATAATATAATATAATATAATATAATATAATATAATATAATATAATATATAATAATAATATATAATATATTTATACCCTTTCAGGGTATTCTAATTTAAGTCAGAAGCTTGAAAAGGTGTGAAAGAGTCATTTCCGACCATATAAATAATATATATTATTGATCAGCATCAACAGCCGAGTCGATCTAGCCATCTTAGACAGAAAAAAAAAATTTAACCAATTTTTTTCAAAATTTTATAACATCGTTAAAATTGTAAAAAAATGACCAAAAATTTAATTTTGAACTGAGTATGCAGATTTAAAACTGTAATAAAAACTAACATAACACCGTTGTCCAAATTGAAATTAATGCATTTTTGGCTTAGTTATCAGTTATTTGCTATAACAAACTAAACTTCTCACATTAAATGTAAACATTAAATTTTTTTACAAGTGCATTAACATGGAAAAGTCGAAACAAAGGGATTGTGTTATGCGAATTGACGTTTGACTTTCGAGAACTTTTGTCACATTCACAGAGTGAGTGCCTTTTGATTGCTCGCCCATGGCATCAATACCAATTTGCGCTCTTTATATCGGCTAGATCAGAGGGGACTCATAGAGATATATACATTAATGGGCGGGTCAAAGCCATGTCTTTAGTGTTCCAGAGATATTTTGGATATTGTGACCCTTTCGGTTCACATCCGCCTAGTAATCCCCTACCGATGCCGATGCTGCTGGGGGAACCGCCCCAAAAACCCGAAACCCAAAATCCGAATAACGAAACAGTGCGGGACAATCAGTTTTGACATCGGGGGGCTCAGCCACTCAGCGGAGCATCTGCAACCCACCCTCCTCCCTCGAGAGGAACTGCGAAAAAAGAGGCCTTGCTGACAGCCAGGGGATGTGGGATGTGGAACAAGGGATGTGGGAGCAGTGTATGGGCCAGGGAATGGTCAAGTCTGGCCTAGGAAACCGTTTTTCAATGGCGTTTGCAGGACCGACCGGCTTTTGTTATTTCGGGGCTCACTCTTCCGGCCTGTTGTTTCTGTGGAACTGCGTCGCTGTCGTCGTCGTCGTCCCGGGGATGAGCTCCAGATTCAGATTCAGAACCCAGAATGTGTCAGGGGGGGGAGGCAGGAAAGCGGAAGGCAAAGTGTGAGATTCGCCTTTTCCTCCCTGTCCAATTCCATTTCAACTTTCCCTCGCTCGCTGTAACATTATTACTTGGCCACTTTTTGGGTCTGCCAGTCTGCCTTTGTTGTACTTTTTAATCGCTGTGTCGGAATTTAATAATTTTAAGTGAAAAGCAGGTCGCAGGGGTCGCAGGGGTTGGTGCCTGGGTGCCTGGGTGCCGGAGTGCCCGGCTACCCGGGTGACTGGGTCACTTTGGGCCAGAATGGGTCGCGGCCTCCATTTGTTTCTCTCTTAACAATTTTTACACCTGTTTGGCATTTTTTGTTTCTGACCAGGTAAGTGGCAAGGGATGATCTCTCGCCCGAGCTGCTGCCTTTCCTCCTGGCCGGACCATTATTCATTCATGCCTGAAATTATATTACGGCCAAGGCCGTTCAGTCGCCAGTCGGCAGTCGCCAGCCGGCAGTCTCCTTCTCCAGCAGCAGCCTGGAGCCTGAAGCTTGGAGCCTGGAGCCTGGAGCCAGGAGCCTGGTGCCTGCCTTTCTGGAGCTCAACTAGGACTATGCCTTCATTGTTGATGTGCAGAAAGTCCTTCCTGTTTATATGGAATTGAAAACAAAGTTACAAGGGATTTGCCCGGTGTTAAACGGCGAAGCATTCTGGGTGCCTGGCTGCCTGGGTGCTGGAGTGCCCGGCAACGTTTCCATAAACAAGAATGTGTAAAATAAAGGGAATTACAACCGAAAACCCCGAACAAAGTGTCCGAAATATGTATTTTTCTTTTACTTTTTTCTGGTCTGGAAATAGTTTAAAGCTCTTTCTGGGTTTGAATGAGTTTTGAGTTAAAATGGAAAGTATTATAATATTTGCCAACTTAATTGAGTTGTTTTAAATTGTAAAATTCAATAGCTTAGCTTTTGATTTAATTGCTATGAAATTAAGGCTGTAAAAGGGGCAGAGGGTGGTATATTCCTAACACTCAGGAAATGTGGATTGTGGTTACCCCCACACATCCGGTACGCGAGGCATGACTTAGATTCACACATGTACATTTTACAACAAAGGCAAAATGCTGGAAAGGGATACGTAGTCATTACGATAAATGCTTTTTGGTGTAAATCTCTCGGACAATGCGCTCGGCACGTGCGTGGCAAACAAATTAACAACCGAACCCCGTCCTTCTGTCCTTTTGTCCCTCCCCCCATCTAAATCCTGTCCCTCCTTTGAGTCACAATTATCTGTCAAGCGACCATAAAAATGCTCAATTACACCATCGCGTTTTCCAATATGTAACACACATGCACGACCGCACAACCAGCCCCCCTGCTGCCAGTGCCATTACCCTGGGATACTCTACCCTGTACCCTCTATCCTGGATCCCTGTAACTCCTACCCTGTACCCTCCTCTATATCCTTGTACCCACGCGCGAATGTTCGAATAAATTATGCATTAACTATCGCCAAACAATTTCTCATGAGGTCTAGTTCAGATTGCCATTCTGTGATAAGCAAAATGGAAGCGAAAACGAAAATGAAAGCGGAGTGCACACACCACGCACACCACACACACCACACACACACCATGAGATTATGTTTTTTTCTATGGCGTGGGTCGATTTGTAGGGAGAACAAAAAGACAAATCATGGGTGGGGAGAATAAAATTTAAGGACAATCCCCAAGAAATATTTGAGGTAGGGGAAAATCATCATCATTTAAACGAGGTATTTTTAAGTGTTTAAAAAAGACAACTATTATCTTTTTTAAAGGATCAATTTATAATAGAAGTAGATGCCTGAAACCTTAAATAAACACCCTCTTGTATTCTATATTTTATATAGTATAAAAGAATCAAAGGAATCTTTGGTATAACTTAATCCAACCTGGCTACCTCTCTATATCACATTTATTGAATTTTAATTAAACTCTCATTTATATTTCATATTTTTCTGAAATATCTCTTATTATTCTAGTTGTTTTTGCTAGTGTATATCAAACTTGGGTGACCGAAAACCGGTCTCCATACCTGTTTTGTTTGCATTTGTTATTGGGCGTAGCAAAGAAACCCAAAACGAAGGAACAAATAAACAAGCAAAGCAGTCGGCATGGGCATCGATTTCGATTTTGGATCGCACTTGAACCCTTGGCAGTTGTCGTATGTCCTGCCACGGAGAAGGGAAACGGGACACGGAACACAGGAACAGGACTCGTACCCGAATCCAAACCCAAACTCTTCCCCCCCCCCCCAGAGGGAGGTGTTGGTGGGAGGCAATTTAATGCCGGAAATAGTGTTTCCGACGGCGCCAGCTCTGGCTGCTGTTGCTGTATCTCTCCATGTAGCGTAGTGCAAATAAATATACTAATAAAATGCCGAAAATTCGCAGGCCTCTCATCGACCCACCCGATTCCCCCGAAAGGGTCCTGTTTGGTTGCTACCCGAAAGGGTAAACATTCCCGTAATGAACTTATTTGGAATGCATGCCACGCTCTACGCAGCAGCAGCAGCAACAATGGCGTGTCGGTCAAATGAATCTGTAAATGAGCGTAATTTAGGCCCTCCGACCTTGGTAACTCTTTGCCTTGGCAATTGTTTTCGGATACCCATGAAATATATTTGCACAGGAGGTGTGTGTATATAGCTTACAATTGGATACAGTGAAGGTAAGCCATTAATCGGGTTAATATCAAACTGGTTTTAAGGCTTTAAAACACAGTGTGAAATCAATATTTTTGTATAGACAAATTCCCCCATCTAGTTGGCCTGGACTTAACCTTAACCTCAGTGTCAACCTAGGAATCTTTCACTATTGGGTTAGTCCCTTTTACTTTCGGACATCTCCCTGAACAGACGCGTTTTCGAACAGCACTTTTAGGCAGTTTCATCTCTAAAAAAATCAAACATTATAAAAAAGTTACTAAAAATTTGAGTCGAATCGCAGATATGGATAACTTAAACGACGCCGAACTCTTCGTACTCGACGACGACTCCGAGGATATGTTCGAGGGAGACGAGTCTCCTGCCGATGTCGATGATGATGAGGGTGATGATGAGCCCATGGACAAGTCCAAGGCCATGACACCAGACGACCAGGAGCTCAAAACCAAGTCAGAGGCCAAAGATGGGAATGCAAGCGACATGGCGCAGAATGGGGAGAAGGACCCCGAAATGAAGATGGATGTGGATCCAGATGACCAGCCCACAACCAGCATGAATTGCCAGCGCAATCGCATGCGCTTCCAGATCAAAAAATGGAATGCTGTGGCCGTGTGGGCCTGGGATATTAATGTCAACAATTGTGCCATTTGCCGCAACCCGATCATGGATCTATGCATCGAATGCCAGGCTAATCCGAATGTCAACTCCTATGACGAATGCACCGTGGCCTGGGGTGCCTGCAACCATGCCTTCCATTTCCATTGCATCTCACGTTGGCTCAAGACGCGCCACGTCTGTCCGTTGGATAACCGTGACTGGGAGTTCCAGAAGTATGGTCGCTAGTCATTGATTATATAGTTGATATTGCTGCCATTCCTTTGCCAATAAACGTTTTTGAATTTTCGCCCCTCCCTGACCTGACCAGCTGTGGTTTCCATTCTTTGTTGCTTAGTGTTTGCTCCCTGCTTCTGCTCCTCGCTCCCCCAGCTCCTTTGCTTTACCGCTTCCACTTCCGGCTTAGCTTCCGTTGTGTGGCACTTGCCTGGGGCCTTGAATTAATTTCCCAGCAACATCGAATATTATAAATTGGGAAACCATTGAGGAAAGGAGGCAAGCCAAGGCTGACCGGCAATGATTGAAGTTTTAAGAGAATTAGGGTTCTACACAGAGAGGCCTTCGGAAATTCGTAGAAACTTTTGTTTAATTTTTCCCATTTTCAAATTCCTTCTTTTTGTGTGTGCTGTTCTTATTTTCCTTATTTTTTTCTGTGGTTTTTCTTTCGTGTGCAATTAAGAGCCAGAAGAACTGGCAGTGAAGAATACTGGAGTGTTTTCTGTGATGTGTAGTTGGTGTGACCCGTAGGCGAGAGGCAAAAATTTTGAAACAAACTTAATGCAACTCATGGCTCTTGGCATCAATATGTATTCTATGGAAAACTGCCAGAAAATTTGATGGAAAACTAAGTTTGGAGGAAGTTTCTCAGCTCCTTAGTAAGCAAAGACCATAAAACAAAAAAAGATGCGTAACGTCATATGTTCGTTGCTTGTATGCTCATAATGCAGATTACAGATTGTTAGTTCGTGTTATAAATCTCGTAGATTATATAAAGCCTCGGATATTTCTTGAGTATTATTAAGATTTTTAGTAAGGAGAGGAAAACCCCAGCCAAGAAAACCCAAGAAAAACTATTATATTAAAGATATTATGATACAAAACTTACCACTTTTTAATATATCAAAAGAAAGTCTAGATTCTTAGCTCCTTCAATTCCTGATCTACGCAAGTCGTAGTTGGGCTTCGTCTCTGACACTGACAGCCTGTAAAAGAGCAGAAAATAAGTCAAGTAAGTAACTTGATGAGGTAATGCCAAAGGTAATGGTAATATTCCGATTAGCAGCAGCAGTTCCGAGTGTTGAAGGGGCGAAAACTGACTGCATTCTGGCTGCCATCAAGTGTTAATAACCGCTCATTAGACACCTAATCGAGAGCATCAGTGAAGGGGGCGGCGGGAGAGAGGGCGAGATATTAAGGGGGCGCAGCGCACCTGGCTTCACTCTGGAACACACAGTTCGACTCCAACCGATGTGTGTATGAATGAGCCTCGTGCTCAACTGGCGGTTTGGATGGATATATACATATGTAATGGTATCATTCCAGCGCAAAATGCGAGAATTCAGCGAACAATTTCGCAGCTGCCAGAGGTATAGGGGAGATGAGGGAGCGAACACACAGGGACAAGGAAATCGGCAGGACGAGAGGGCGCTGTGGCAGCTGCAATGGCCATGGCAAACAGCTGCTCCATATGCCAAAATGCAACAGCCACTATTGCATTGTCACTAGCAACAACAAAAGGACACCAACAACAGCAACTACAACAACAAATGCAACAACAACAGCTGCCTACAATATTTTATTTTATTTGGTCAGTGTGCGGTGCAGAAATCGCCAACGAAAACCAACCCCAGGAGCTCCGTCTCCTACCCTCGATGGGAACTAACCTATTATTAAATCAAAAGCAAAACACATATACACGCAAGCAACACACACACACACACATACATATATAATTCGCAATTCCACTTAAAAGGCGGTATCAAGATTCAACCATACATATATATTTATTTTCACAGTTCAGCACGTAAGAGCTGTTTTTCTTGGCTAAAAGGAGCCTAAGGAAAGCACCGAAACAGCTGTAATATTATAGGAAGTCCACATATATGGGAATAAAGATTCAATTTAAATATTATATACAATTAATAGAAGGATTTGTATGATCAGATTTATTAAAAAAATATATTATATATGATTATTATCATTAGATTAATATTATCGAAAATTAATCATATCTCAGTCAAAAATGCAATTATTTTCAATCGGAAAGCTTTCCAATGTTAGATTTTATTAGGTTAATAAATCTGCATACTCAATTTAACATTTTGAAAAAATAAATTTTTTATCATTTTTTTTTGTTTAATTTTAACGATGTAACCCCTTAAAAATTTTGAAAAAAATTTCAAAATTTTTTTTGTATTTTCACATAGCCAGATAGATTCGCCTGTCAATGCTGATCAAGAATATATATGATTTATGGGGTCGGAAATGACTCCTTCACTTAGTTTTAAGCTTCTGATTAAAATATATTATATTAAGCCTATCCGGATGTTAAGTTCTTTAAGGGAAGATTTTTGTTTAAAAAAAAGCAATACATTAAACTTTCATTCACCTTCCCAATGAGACTTCCATCAAAATTTTAACTATAATTAAACAAACTGCCTAATTTATTTCCATTTTAAATAATTTGGCTAACAAGGTTTTCACTTTGTGTTGAGTTAAGGTCGCTTTACAATGATGTCGCGCACTGGCGTCCTGGCACTTGATTATCGGAGTGGAATTGCATTTGGCTTGCAAATCAGCAACTGAATCTGTGAGCTCATCAGGAAAAGTTCTTTGATCATATTTCATCAGGAGCAGGAGCAGGAGCAGTAGCAGGAGCAGAAGCAAAGAAGCGGATTCGGGTTCGGTCTTGGGTTTGGGATTCCATTTTAAAGTATTCTCGAAATCTCCTATTCCGTTTCTGCTCCAGGTCTGGCTATGGCTCTGGCTCCTTGGCGGCGGCATCTTCATCTTTAGCACCCTTAGGTGCACACCTTTGGGGCAACAAAGTTGCATTTTCTCCGCCTCTTATTCCTCGTGTTTTGATGCATTGCGAATTTTGTGGCAGGCACTTGGCGACGACGACGACGACGGCTCTCGACGGTGTCGCCGCTGTCGATGCCCAAGTTCACTTGCCACCCAGTCCCACTTCTTACCTATCGTCAACCCTCACCTTTTCCCGACTTGGACAGACAGTTAGACCGACAGACAGACAGACAGACAGACAGACAGAGGAACGACAATGTTTGTGCTGAACCCCGCCCCTGTTCGCCGCACGAAAAGCGCTCCGTAATTGCTTATGCAAATTTTCGCTGCAGTTTTCAACACAGTCATTCCCATGGCCCACCCTCCTCCTCCACCCGTTGGGTGTGCCAAATCCTTCTCGTCCTTTGGGCCAAAAACTCTTGACGTTGGCGTACCGTTCGTCGTCCTCCTCCTACTTCCTTGGCGGCAGCCGATTCTTTAACTCTTGGCAAAAGGCACTTTAATGCGGCTTGCAAATTGGGTGACACGCTGAGTGCAGAGCACAGATAAAGAAATCTTTGCTTAATTAATATCAAATAATTGTACAAAATTATATATATGTATATAATTTGGGGGATAAGTAGGGTTTATAAGAATCTCAATAGGGTTTTAAAAAGAAAGCTACCAAATTGTACATTGCTAAACAGGCAAATTTATACTAAATTTTGTAACTTAGAACAAATTATTTCTTACTTTTCAACATCCTTTAAAGGTTAAAAAAACCTAGGGATTTCTAGAGCACCCTATTAGATAAAATTATTATTAAATATCATTATTACATTCTTTGATATTTTTAAATGCGAATAATAATGTTTCTTTTGTTATTTAAAATTAACCCAAAGCTAAGCTTTAATCCTGGCTTCCCTGAGGAACAAATATAATGTTTTCTCTCCAAAAATAATTATATAAATGTGAAAATTCCTGCTGGACCCGGGACCCCAATCAAGAAGCCAACATATATAGAATATGTGAAGCTAAAAATACCAAAGAACTCTTAACAGAACCCTTAAAAAGAACCCTTGAAGAAAAAACCTTCAAAGAAATAAGGTTCCAGTCCAAGGCTCTTGACAAAAGCCAGAAAATTTTCGCTACGCAAATTATGCGTTTTTAATTTTTCCGGGGGGAAAAAGACCGAGGAAGTTAGAGGGGAACTTAAGGGTCAAAAGTAATTTTAGGGACCCTTGGTTTACTTTGCAATAAAATAGACATTTTTGGGTACGAATCAGAGGCAGAGGCAGTGGCGCAGGCCCATGAAATTTATAGAATAAACTACTTTTCGAGGCAGGATATATATATATATGTTTAAGGAAGAGTACAGAGTACAGAATGAGTGGGGCTTCTTTGCATTTTGTTGAGTGTGCTGTATTCTCGCATCCGGCAATCCAACTTCAACTTGCTCCCATGGACTAAACTAGGCGGAAATCGGCTCACAGTTTGAAAGCTGTTCAAATTGGCCTGCTGCTCATAAATTTGATATGTGCTCGCTTTCGGGGGAGTTGCAGGCAATTAAAGTTGCAAATTTAAGGCATCGCAGCTAGGCTAAAGTAGAGAGAGCTGTTTGTTTAACGGCAAGCACTGGCACAGGCACAGGCACAAGCATTTTATTTGCCACAGCCTTTCAGTTAGCGGGGGCTTTGCAATGTCTGCGGACATGTCCTCCATCCTCGTCCTCCTGCCGGCAGCTTGATTTATGGCCAACCAACGTTGTTGGGGCGGCTTCCGAGCCGCTTCGGCATCCTCCCCCTTTTCCCATCTCTCACTCTTGGCCACTTTGGTTCAATGGCCGACAGTGTTCGCGGCAAGCGGATCAATTTCGCATTTTGCACACACTAGGCGAAGGTTGTTATAATTTCCCCCCGGGCGAAATTTCCAATGCAGTCAGACAGAAATCTCAGTTCTCGTGCCAAGAAATCCTAGTCTTTTAGAATTTCAAGTTTATCTCTTTTTACCTTTCACTTAGTGTAACTTTAAAGCTCATTATTGAGATTAATTCGCTTCTCTTCTTAGCTTTAGGATTTAATAAACTCAACAGATACATTTAATTTGAATAAATGTGAGGAGTTAAATACCCCAAGCAATTATTCTTGACAGACACCTTGTGCCTATCCCCGTAATAATAAATAATAAACAGGATCAGGAACAGATCAAAACACCTTCTGAATCCGACTGGGAAATCCGACTGAGACGGGTAAGGGATTGAGGGATTGAAGGACGAGGAGGCAGGGCATTGGTCGTCAGTGCAATCGGTTAGACAGTGTTGCATATTAACGCGTAACGCTGCCAAAGGACCTCCTTCACCCACTTGACTCTGGCTCTGGCGGCGGCCGCAACGTCTGTGCATAAATAAAACATAAATTACCGACAGGCGGTGTCGGTCGGTCGGTTGGTCTGGCTGCCTGGGTCCTTGGGTCCTTGGGTCCTTCCTGCGGCCAGCTCTCGCTCACTCTCCCTCTCTCTTCTGCCTGGTTCTGGTTTTGATCCTGGTCCCATCGTGTCATCGTGCTCCTGGGTGGGCTAATTAAAACACTTGATGGCCTCTCGGTCGCCTGGCCTTCCATCATCCCCCTTCTTCCTTTTCAGGACTCCATCTTCCGTCTCCTGGTGGACGGGAATGGAATGGAATGGGTCGCCAAAATCGACGGCGTCTGGTGTCGAAATTCCTAGCCGCCGGCCTTGTTGTTGGTGGCAAATTTCGAATGGCCCCCGGTTGAGGTTGTTATTATAATTGTTGCTCCTCCTCCTCCTACGGCCTCCTGTTCCTGCTGTTTCTGCCCGCTATCCTTTGCCCCAGGTAAGGCTTATCCTGGGGCGTGTCTGCTTTATTGAGCGGCAGAAACAGCTGCGAGGTGAAGTTTTCACAGGGGGCGGGAACTGCTGCCTACCTGCCTCACCTGTCTGCCACGCATTGCAAATTATTTATTGATATTAAGTGCTGTTAATTATGATGCTATTTAAGTCCGCACTCAATGAGGGGGAACTCTGGCTCCGGCTCTGGCTATGGTTCTGGTTCTGCCTTGGCTACTGGGTTTTGATGCCTTCGGTCTTGTAGTGGATTATGCTTCTCGATGGGGTTTGGTTTGGTTGCTTAATGAAGTGGTCGTGGCGGTTGATGGTGGCACAGCCTACAAAGGGACTGATA